GTCAGTTCATTCAAGCGCCGGAAATCCACGCAAAACCTGTATTTTCCGTTCATCTTCCTTAAAAGCACAACTGGGGAATTGTACGCGCTGTTGGCTTCTTCGATTATACCGTTCTTCAACATCTACTGAATCTGTCTATGGACCTCCTCCCGTAAATGGAGCGGCAACGGACGGTGGCCATAAGGTCGAAAGCATTCTGATGACAGAGGAATTTCGTGTTTAGTCCACGGGCAGAAGCCGAACGGATCCTCATCGCCCGTGAACAGTTTGGAATATTCCTCGACCACGGTCCGTATTGACGATGCATTACAAGACGGAAGTTTTCGGACACACAGCTCCCTCACGACAGTGCCTGGACAACCTTCAAGCTTGATTGCACCATACTTTGTCACCAGCCTTCCCTGCTTTAGGTCAATCACGGAATCTGTGCCCTTGAGAAAATCAGCTCCCAATATTGTCTGCTCTACGTCTGGGCTGATCAGGGACGCGTGCTGCACGGACTTGTCGCCTAGGCGTACCGAGTGCTTTGGCAGTCCGTCAATCTTCAATCGATATCCGCCAACAGCTCTCACGCCTACCGCGCACGGTCTGTGTTCGGCTTGGTTCCCTCTTTGCCTCAGCGATACGCCTGCTCCGGTATCAATCAAACATAACTCCTTTTTCCCGTCTACCTCGACAATGGCTTGTACGGTAGCATGCGTCAGTGCGATCGGTTACGGGGACACTGATTCTTCCAGTGGCCAGGCTTGCCACACATGTAGCACCGGCTGGTTTGAGCGTGCCTACGCGATTCCATCTTCACGACTGCCAGCTGTTCGGTGAGTTGGTCCACCCTGGTCTGTCGTTCATTCACCAATGAACCATCCCTCTTCTCCTGCGACTGCAACGTGGCCAGTGGTGCCTCCGGCAGCTTCCGTGCCAGGCGCACCAGCTTTTCCACACTTAACTGGCCAGCTGCTCGTGCCAACCGCAACTGGGCACCAAGCGCGGGCTGCACACATTCGACGAACTGATCCGACAGCAACTGGTGTCGCGACACTCCGTCCAGCGCCGGCAAAGCGCAATGCAACAACTGCTGCAGGCCAGAGGAGAACACGGTCGGGTCCGAAGGGTGCCATCCTGGCCGTCTTGAACCGCCTCATAGCTTCCTGGCGGTCGGCCGGCTTGGCGAACTCCGCTGCAAGGACTTCCTTCGCAGCGGCCCAGTCCATCTTCTGGGGCCTCTTCAGGCCGCATCCAGGGCCGCATTCGCCCAGCCCCTGAGGAGGGTCTTCAGCGCTGCCAAATTACCCCGGTCGGTCTCCAGCCCACAGCCAATTCCTCCAGGAAGATCCGAACATCCCCACTCCCAGAGGGTCACGGCCGCGGGATCTTCATCCTTATCCTGGTAACGGCACCAAATGAAAGGAAGAAGGCCTTCGCTGCGGAGTTATTTAATTAGGAAATGCCAACTGACTGGTTACAGACCATTGAGCAGGGAAGCAAAACTCTTATCTGCATCTTGCCACAAAAACTGTACACCGATCTTCTCCCGAACGAGCCTTCTTGAACTTTCCTGGAGATTCATTAACTCCGCTCATTTGTCGGTCAAATCCAAGCAAATGTTACAAAGTGGCTCCACGAATTCCGTAGCAGATCTCCTTTTTTCAATAGACGCAAAGCGAAATTCTACGAACAACACATACTGCTCGCTTGCCTATCCATCAGTAGTATCACCGCTTCACCGGTAGCGAAACCCAACAGGGAATGGATCGGGACAGCTGTTATTCCATATAAACCAGGAACAACGGCGGTACTTCTAAGAATTCTAAACACGGCTAATATAAGAGTAGCTTTCCAGAGGGGAACACTCTGTGCTCTGCACTGGTGAAATTGAAGGATCGCCTCCCGGTAAACAGAACCAGAGACTGTGTTTACAAAATTAAGTGTAATGACTGCCCCAAAGTCTTTATAGGACAGACGGCCAGGGAACTACACATCAGAATCGGAGAGCATAATAGGAAAGTAAACAGGCCCCTGAGAAACGCAGATGAATATCAAGCGTTCCTGAAAAACTCGGCGATTGTGGAACACGCACTCTACATGGGACACCAAATAGATCTAGACAATGTTGAGGTTTTGAGGTGAGGACTACAGTCCACGTCCGAGGCGGTAGAAATCGCCTAGCATCCCAGCGTTACCACAATGGAAGGCGCGGAACTGGCTAGCGTGTGGAGAACGATCTTGAGTCACTCGAGCTGACATGTGTCGGTGTGCGGTCATCAGAAGTAAGAGTGGTCATCATCTGATATCCACTTGACCTCAACCCCCCTCAAACTAAATTGTCGGAGCACTCACAACACCGCAAAAACCAGGGAAAATCTAACAGCGGCACCCGAGGTGAACCATCAGGTGGAGCACCCTGAATTGGAAGATTAAGGAACGAAAAGCGATCGGAACTAATTTGGAACCCCTCCAACCCATCAATTCGAGATTTTGGCACCCATACTAGCTGACCAGAGCCGTTAATTGACACTCAACACTGATCTAGTTTGAAGATGACTTACTGATTGGTTTCCGGTCTGTCTAATGACCTGGCCAATTAGGTGACCTGCCCACTTGGCCTGATGAAGCTTTTGTGTCAAAAGCGAAGCGTTGTCTAAATACAAACTACCGATCTTTTACCAAGCTCTTCTGAAACGATGACTTCTCAATCGGTTCCAAACTTTTTCCAGACTTCGCATAATTTGATTGGTTTCCTGTGGATCTGACTAGGTCCCAGTCCCTTGCGTTTGGCTGCAGCTTGCCAAATTTCAATGTCCACTGAAGCAATCATATATGGTGTTTCGTACCTTTATTTTGCGTTCACTATAACACTACGTAAATCGTCAGACGCATGATCGTTTTTTTGTTTCAATAAGAAAAGCCACAAAAACGCGCACTTGTACAATATTCACACAACATAAACGTCGTCATGTGATTTGACTTTCTCTTCTGATTTCGCTGGCGCTTGCAGTGGTCATTCGCGAGGCTCAACTGCTAACTCTGGTATCAAAAACTCTCTGATCATCTTCGGAATATATTACATTGTGCTAACTGTTCAGAAGAAGACCCTTGGACCACCATAATTGCATTATTGTTTATTAGCTTACCTTGGCCAACGACGAACTGTTCTAAAGAGAGCAATTATTAGTGAGTCTGTTCCATTTGACCTCCTTATTATTTTATAGCGAATCTAACGTTATTATTTTTATTTCTTCACCACACACCCTGGTAAATTAACTTATTGCGTAGTCAGACTACTACACATACCACTGGAGGAAAAGTCTAGTGAAATAGCTTCCCAGCATCCATGAGAACCCGTGCCTAAACAAGGATAAAAAATTTAGCCTGGTATTCTCAACTCATTTTTCCGATTAGCTTGGTCCATTAGGGACACGACCTAGCCTCCAAAAATCCCACTCTATTGTTCGAATACCCAGCGACACATTTTAGGAACGATGCCAACAAGCACCCCGAATTATTATCGCCGAGAATATGGGGGTTTCGACGATTATGAAATCATCGGGAATTAGTCAAAACAATTTGCATTTTTCGGTGATATCTTGGTCATAGCATTTTGTTTAAGTTAGCACAATTTTAAGGACATGGACCGCTCCGCACGAGATAAAACAGGAAGTAGAACTTGAACGAATTTTGGCGCACCTTAGGGACTTTCAGGAATAAAAAACAAAGAATAGGTAATGCCAAGCAGTTTCAATGTAATTTGTGAAAAATAATTTTAGCCAGGTGCCATTTGATACCAAGAATTGCGTTGTCATTCCGGTTATCGAATCGATTCTATGTTGACGGTTTATACAGGCCAGATTCAAGTGCATCACCAGCTTAGTTTAGGTTCATTCACTTTCTTGTCTATGAAGTTCATACTCACACGTCACCGCTAAGTAAATACCCCTTTTCTTATCTTAGCATTACGTCCGACTGCCACCGCTGTAAAACCTGATCACTATTTTTGCCACTTTGAAGCAGACCCTATTCTCTACATGAACATGGACAATCAAGCAAA